ACAGCTTTCTCAAGGAGTCAGAGCCAGGGGCCTTTGCCCAAGTTTGCTGGAAATGTTAAAGATCCAAAGGTGTGTGAACAAGCCTGCAAACTATCCTGACTGACGAATTGTGCCGATTCCAAACTGAACTATAACCTGATATTTTCTCCAATAAACCAAATAACTCTTCAGTATGGTTCTGTGTGGCCATTGCAATGAATTAGCAGGCCCCATTGAGAACCCTGGGGCATGATGGGATTGACTGAAGTAGGTTTGAGTGTGATGTTTGAGCTTGTGGAAATATATCTTGTGCTGTGGACTCTGTTATTGGGGACTATGCTCCTTCATGAAATTAGTGGAAGTCAGTTGCCAGTGTTTCCATACTACTTGCATTCTTTTTACACACATAATATCAATTAATGCAGAAGGGGCATCTGGCAAAATCTAACATCCCTAACAAAAATTCAGAAATACAGGAGTAGAAGGGGAAATCCTTAACATAATTAAAGGCATAGACATAAAACCAACATTCTCAAGAAATTAAAAACATTCTTCTCCTTGTAATAGGAAATCAGAACTCCCACTATTACAACTATACAATAGGCAAGAAAGAGAAATAGAAGTCTCCCACATTAGGAGGAAATAAAACTATTTGCCAGTGATATACTATCCATAAAATCCCAGATCATCAGGTGGGTCTGAAATCCCAACCTTTATGTTAGCAGCCAAATGCTTAATCAGTATTACCAGGGTCCATCAATAACTTGAAACTTCTTTAACTGACCCTTTTATCTAACTCTTCATTTAGTCATTACTTGATTTTTTCTTTCAAAATTTCATTTGGGAGCTTGGCCATTATAATTTTTTAATGGATAAATAGCAAGACAGAACTTTAAAGATTCATATTAATTTTTAATTATTTCAAGTGTTGTATTTTCTTTTTTTAAAGGTGGTAAGAAGAGGGAGCTCTGGTGGCCTAGTGACAAGAAGCTGCGCTGCAATGCCGAAGACATGTAGTTCAAAACCACCAGCTGCTCTGCGGGAGGATGGGCAGTCTTCTCCCGTGGGATTAACTGCCTCAGAAAACCTGCTGGAGGGTCAGCCAAGGGTCGGTTTCCAACTCTACTGTACACAACAACAAACAGAAAAGTGGAGGGATATTAAAGCTGGCAGTTGTGTTGTTTGGTGCTATCTAGTACAAGTCATAGTGACTTGATGAACAGCTCTGAACCCTGTCTGTCCTAGCCTGTGCAATTCACAATTTGACACACTAAAGCCCATTGTTGTAGTTACCGTCAATCCATCTGGGGGTCTTCCACTCTTTCACTGACCTTCCCCTTTCCCAAGCATGATGTCACTCTCCAAGGAATGGCCTCTCTTAATGTGCCTAAAGTATGAGATGAAGCTTTGTCATCTTTGCCACCAAGTACTTTTTCTACCAGTTTATTTACAAATTCAAATTCTTTCAATTTCTCTCACCCCACCCACCCATCAAATTGTACAACCCAATGATCAATCCCAACCCTGCACATCCACATCCCTCTGCTTCCAGCCTCTCCCATCCCTCCTGGACCCTTATACTCTACAGTAACAGTCTTATACAATATTTTTCCTTGTGGGACTGAGTTAATTCACTCAGCATAATGCTCTCCAGTCCCTCCCAAGTTAGGTAATAATTTACAAAGTTATTACTCTTGTGTGCTGCATAGTATTCCATTGTACAAATGGACTCGACTGTACTTTCTCTTAGACATATTTTGTTCTCGTGGCAGTCCATGGGATATTCAGTACTGTTCCCAACTCAAAGTTGGTAGTAGGAAAGGGGGAAAGGCATGGTTCTATTTCATTAACTATATTAAGGGAAGATAAGGAAATGTGTGAGGGGAAACCACTTTAGCATTTTTTTTAATTATGGAAAGATAAATGGCTTGACATCCCATATACTTAGTTTTGCTCAAATGGTATAAAGTCACAAATAATTTTTATTCATTAACCACTTTTTTTTTTCAACAACTCATGTAACTGTCCAGAAAGTCAAGAAGTGTTAAGATTTAAGTTTTGAGAACCTGGGTCCTTTAATTCCCCTAAAACTATAATAACATCACAGTTCCTTGCAGGACTGGTTTTGTTTGCTTTGGCTACCTATTTTGTTGTGTGCCCTTGAGTAAGAATTAACTCTTAGCTGACTCTCCAATGGGTTTTCAGAGGCAGTAATTTGTGAGACCATCCATCCTTCGAGCAGGTGGCACATTTGAACTGTGTGCTTTGGGGACAGCAGTGCAACTTCTTACCACCAGGCCACCCAAAATTATTTAGAAACCCAAATAAGAAAAACTCTGTACCAAGGAAAAGTTGCATTTGACAGGAAACATGAGTTTTCTCACCCATTAATCATACTAGAGCAAGTTTTTGATAATTTGATAAAATATACATCAATGGCAAGAGTGATAAATTCCAAGAATCTGGATTAAAATAAATGGCAATACCATTTTTCTAAGCCAACTTTCTAACTTCACTATTAGAAAAAAATAATCCTGATTTTAAGATCAAGAAAAATCTGTTAATGCCTGGTCAAGCAACATACTATTAATAAACTATGGTAGAGCTGCAATATTCTAAGTATTTTAAATGTATTATCTAATCTTCCTAGGTACATTTAAGAGCTATTATTTTATAGAAAAGATAAAATGTTGTAACATAAATCACCTAAGAGTCTTTTCTATTGATGACCTCATTTTTTATTAAATTTGGTTATCTTATGGTGCCCCTCCACCCAAATATACTTCTACCTATATGATTTGCTAGCTCTGAGAATATTTTAGACATGCAAGTATTAAGAAGTATGAACAAATTAAGTTCCTGAAGTCACTCATTTCAAGGATACTGAGGTTTCTGAAAGTTAAGAGCTCGCGTGATAAAAATGGCAGAAAAATCACTTTAAGTATTGTCAGAAATTCTAACATGTAGAAAATGAGAAAAATAAGCAAGTACAGTGTGGTTAAAAGCTTGGACTCTAGAGGATTTAATTCTTCTTTGAGCAAATTGTGTTTCAATTAACAAGCCAAATTCGAAGAGCTAGTCAAGTTATTTTGAGGGTTAATAAAACTCACATATAGTTAGTTACATTACAGGTTTGCAGGGCATCACAATAAAGCAAATACTTCAATAAAACAAGTCACACAAATTGATATATAGCCAATGTATGGCAGTTTTGTTAACACTGTAGTCTATTAAATGCTCAAAAAAAATTATGAAAACATGTAAAATATGAGAATTACCAGTGTGACAAGAGACATGAAGTGAGCATATACTGTTGGGAAATGGTGCTGATACACTTGCTCAATGCTGAGTTGCCACCGACAGCACCAAGCAACAACAAAAATCTTGGCACAAACCTTCAATTTATAAAAACAGTAACTGCAATATAAAATTAAGCAGCAGCATAACAAAGCATGCCTGTATATGCAATTAGTAAACTATGTTTATACTATGCTACTCACTTCAATTATCTAATCTTCACAGCTTTGTTAGGTTTTCTATTTTAAAAACCACTAAAATATTAAAGTCAAAGCTATGTGTCTATTAAGAAGTCTGGATTCTAGGTCAAGAGATTCCAATTTTTTTTTTCTGAACCATATTGTCAAGCATGTACTCCTCTTATGTCAAGAGATTTAAACATTCTTATTTTGACCATTTTGCAAAGTTTAAAAATTAAGATTCTAGCAAATGTTTAAAAATTGTTTTTATGCTAAGCAGATTCTAACAAAGCTACCATGTATTTTAAAAGGCTACTACTACTGTTTAGTACAGTTCCAATTTTTTTTTAATAGTATCAGTAACTTTTTACTTTAACTTCAAACTACCTAAGCAGGCAGATTACAGGAATTTGTCCTACAAAATACATATTCCAAGACTGAGGAAAAGTGTGCTTCTCCAATACATTCAACATCACTGCTGCCTATATTACAGAGGAAACCCATTTACAGAATATTGTTTTTTAACTTTGGTATCCAACTCAAACATTCTCTAAAATGAGTGATAGTTAAAGGCTATCTGGCTCTCCTTACTTCCCTGAGGTTTGTAAACATAATCTATTTTGAAAATGTTAATCCCTTATGCATAAAAATTTGTGCATCAACTGTGAAAAATTACTTGGTTATAACTTACAGTGATTGTTAGCAGGAATGACTATTTGTAGGAACTGGTCCTACCTTAAGAGGAAGTAAAAAAAACCCACACAAATTCTTGAAAAGGTAAAATAGCTTAAAGCATTTAATGTCTAAACAAATCAGTCTGTTAATAGTAGTCACAAAATATGCTTAATATAGAAACCCACATTTATGTCTTTAAGAAAAAGTGTAAATTTTATTTTACCTCAAAACATAAATTAACCTGCTTAAAGAATCTTTAGCGGTTAAAATCATGGTGAATTTTAAACAATTTTAGAATAAAATAATATTAAGTACATCGTTTATATCTTAAAAAATGCTTACAACATCTCATAAAAATAGTTCCAGGCAATTATTTCTTTTTTTCTTTAACAGACATGTTTAACATTATGGGCAACATTCAGAAAGTTTCACAGACATTCAAATACTGTGGTCCCCTTTTTTGAAGTGGAGATTTATTCAAGCTTTTTTTGGTAGAAAAAAGAAAACCAAACCAAAAAAATACATGGGAGACAACTTAATTTTCAGCAAATTGAAAGTAGTACAAAAGTTTTAAGACTCTACAGAACTACACACCGTACCTATTATTTCATTAAAAATAGAAGATAGGATTTTTTTTAGCAAATAAAAAGTATCATGGTATGCTGTTAATGCATACCTTTTAATGCATACGGTTGTTTGTAAATTATTTACAACTTCTACTCTGTGAAGAGAACTAGAATGCAAATTTTCTGCAAAACTGGAAAAAAGTAATACAAAATTTGTGAAAGCCTGTATCATATTGTACAAAAACTTAAGCCAGTTTTTCTCATCAAATACTAGACATTTTATGCAGTGAGTTTTTGGGACACTTTATGGTAATTCTTGAGGATATTTTAATGCTGGTAGTAAGTTTACTGGCCTTGGCTCTTCATCAAGGAGCACTAGATCTTCTATTTCACTGCCTCTGTATTTTCTTTTACATATTTTTACCACCACTTTTTTCTTGAGAAATACCTTCAGTGCTTCTCTTGATGCTACTGCTTTTGCATTTTCTTCACTTTTTCCACAGCCAGTGCCCAAATACACAGACTTGCACCTTAATTCACAAACAATATTTTCTTGAGAGCTCTTATTTTGAGGCAGATCTGCCAGTTCTTTTAGTGGGACAAAGAAGACATCTAGTGTTGCTTTAAGAGCCTCAATAGCTGCATTTAGAAGCTCTCCGTGATTCATATTGAGACTAAAGCCACCAACAGCTACCAACTTCCATGCTACAGTTTTATACAGTCTATTGAAAAAAGGTTGCTTCTGTTTCACATCTTCATTGGTTAACTTACAACAAGAGAATCTAACAGCACTCTCACTTGACTGTGAAGTACTTTTGGAAGGCAACTGTGCTGTGCTACTCTTGGAAGCCAGCTGGGACACACTTGCTAAAGAAGTGCTTTTAGAAACCAGAGAGCCACTGGTCTGGAAGCTGCTCTTGGAAGCCAACAATGATGCAGCTACCTGAGAAGTGCTTTTGGAAGTCAGCAGCGATATATTTGTTGATGGGCTACTCTTGGGAGGTTGCAAGGATGTGGCTGATGATGAACTGTTTTTAGAAACTGATGATGAAACACTTGATTCTGAACTAGGTTTAGACACTAATCCACTTGACGCTGTCTCTGAACTAAGTTTAGAAGATAAAAGTGGTAACTCTATTTCTGAGCTTCCTGAGGAGCCCAACAAGGGCACTTGAATCTCTGAGCTGCTTTGAGAATCTGAGACTGTGGAGCCTTCCAACATACTCTTTTTAGGTGAGCCACTTTGTTGTCGTGAATCGCTGGATTGGGTCACGTGACTATTCATATTTGATTTCAACAAAGAGGAAACAAATGGTGCAGAACCATGCTTTTCTGAAGCTTCAGATTCAGTAGTTTTCCCAGCACCTGTCATTGGTACTTGAGAGGAAATGCTGCTGTTGCTTTGGCTGGAACTAGGCTGATCGCCATCACTTGTTGTGTTCTTCTCATTCAAAGGGCTGCCAGAGCTCCTACCTGAGTTCTCACCACTTTCAGATTTGGATAACCCTGCACATGCTGAACTGTTTTCCTGCTGAGCAGTTGTGTGGTCTGTTTTTGCAGAAATTTTTGCTTGGTCTTGCTCAATAGCAAAATTATTTTTTCCTTCTATGCTCCGTTTTTTTGATGGTTCTTCTATCCCTTCTAAAAAGAAGAAAAACAGATAAGGTCACTTCATCTACCTAACAGACACCAACTAAAAATTTATATGAAAATAAATTTCAGAGATTAAGGTATTTCAGAACTAGTGATTTCTTTAAAAAGCATGGAAACAATTTCTAAAACTGTTGAATAGCATCATTAATTTCTAAAATTAAAAAAAATTAACGAGAGACAATTATTTGGCATTTCAAAATCTAATGTATACAAGCCATCAAAATCAGAGCTTTCAAAAACATTTTAGATTTAACATTCCAATATGATTAATAACACATTAATTCTGACATGTTAAGCATTAGTAATAACAATAAAGCCAAATTATATAGCATTTAAGTTCTAAACTCCTATGTATGTTCACATCTATGATCTGCTAACCATTGCTACTCGATATCCCTCTTTTCTTCACCTTGGCAACCAGTTCATCTCTTGTTGTATGGATTGGAGCATCTGTCACTTTGATGCCTTCAGCCATACTAAGTATTTTATCCATAACTTTTTGAGGGTACCTGAAAACAAAAAGGGGGAAAGTTCAATTAATGTTTAAAAGACGTGGGCCTGCCCCCAGTTAAAGACTTCTGTGCAAAACAGGCCACACAAACTATTTCCTGGTCTTACTCAAGATAGCGTACTAACTGCCAGGAACTTTGTTACTTCCCACAACTCAAATGACCTACGGGTCTGAGAGGCAGCGTCTGGTCTATTGTTGTTATTATGTACCATCGAGTCCAGCGAGTCAATGCGACTCCGTGTACACAACAGCTCTGCAGCCTGGTCTATCCTGAGCCAACCTTACTGTCACTGACACACCTGCCCCCATGACCCCTGTCACTGAGTCAATCGAGGGTCTGCCTCTCTTGCGCTGTCCCTCTCCAAGGACTGGTCACTCCTCGGAACATACCCAAAGTACGTGAGCCGGGGCTTCAAGATCCTTGCCTCCAAAGAGCAGCCAGGTTTCACCCTCTCCAGGGCGAACCTGGGTCTACCTTTACCAGCCTTTAAATCTACAAGAGGGTTTGTCAACTCGAGGCCAACAACTTCGGCATTCCCACACACACACACACACGCAGGGAGCCCACGGTGTCGTTAATCCTGCCGGCTAAGCCTGTCGCGGAGACGCCCTTCTCGCCCTTAGAGGGCAGCCGGACCCGTGAACTCCCGCCTTTCCCAGACCCTGCACTCCCCACTGAGACCTGGTTTTCGCACCGAATGGCGGAAGACAAAATGGGGGAGCGCTGGCTCGAGTCGCTTTCTCACTCACCGGCACCCGAGGAAGATGTGGTTTGCCCAGGCCATGGAGAAGGAGACGAGCTGCTGCAGCTGCCGACTGCGAGTCCCGCTCTCGGCGTCAGCAGCTCCCTCCGTGTTAGCGGAGCCAACGCCGCCAGCGGGGGCGAGGTCCCCGGCGTTGCGGAGCAGAAACTCCCGGCGGTGGCGCCACTGTTTGTCCGTCTCGCCTTCGGAGCGCAATGTCTCCACCCAAGAAGCCACCCGCGGGTTCTGGCTCAGGTACTCCGACACGTCGTGCGCCATGTTGGGCCTGCAGGTCGCGGAGGCCGCGAGCAGACGCTAAGCCGGGAAAGAGGCAGGGGACACCCGGGTGTGAGGTTGTGTCACCGCAGCGAGCCCAGGGGCCCGGTGAGTACGCCCCGCGGGAGGTCCAAACAACAGAGCTCCGAGCCGCGAACCGCCCACTTCCGCCCGCCGCCAGCTTCTCCCCTTTTATAACCTCGCCGCTAAGCGCCCGTGGATTCTTCCGGCGCGAGCCGCTTTTCCCAGGACGCTTTGCGGCGTCCCAGCCGCCGTGAGGCTGCGTCTGTGATAGCCACGGGAGGGGGACAAGAGGGGGCGGGACCGCCGCGCTGCGGGAAGGGGAGGGATGGAGGGGGACGGCCGGCGGGAGGGAGAGGCGGGGGCCCGGCTGGGGCTCGGCGCCGCCCGCCGCGCGACGGAGGGCCTCAAGCGGGGATACCGGGGGGAGCCCTGGCGCTCAGCGGAAACCCCAGCGTTCCAGCGTCGCTTTGTGACGCCGAACACGCCCGGCCAGCTTCCTCTTCTGTCCGGATCCTCCGCGGCGAGAAAGTCTGAGCCGAGGCGGCGAGGGGAGCTGGGTCTCCCAGGGCAGGAGGCGGGCAGCTGGCTTCTGTTTTGCTGTAGGCTCGCTTCCGTTCTGATAGACTTCGAGGCGCTCTATTGTTTGTTTTGTTTGGTCAGGAATTTTTAAAAAGACACACACACCCCCTAAACCAACTAATACTTTTTAGCGTTGTTTTGATGTAAACCAGTAAAGCAGATGTTCTTAGAAAAGATCTAGCGATGCGGATGGGGCATATTAACGAAATAATAAATGTAAGCACTTAACCCAGTTCAATGTTGCCTGGTGGAGTCTGATCTTTGAAGATAGTCTTTGACGCCTCAGGGCTTGGTTTTGATTAGCGCACTCTCTTAGGTCAATCCCAGCAATTTCTGGTCCCCCGGCTGTCTTATTTAATTAGTAACAGTTCTGCACCTACCAAGCTTTGTCTCCATAGGTTCCCTGAACAAACGAACTTCCACCTAGACAAACAGCTTGGAGGTGGTGTGAAAACGTGACCTATTTCTTCCACTGTGTAGAAATAGAATCCCTCTTTAGAGCTATTTTTTTTTTTTTACTCTAAAATTATCCAGATTTTCAGGTTATATTTTTATTGTCAGTTTCCAGTTTTAGGTATGCATTATACGCTATATTAAATGATCATATAATGGTCAATTACAAAATTACATGGTCTTTTCAAGAAATCATTTGGGACTGACATAAATTGCTTGAATCAGAGGAATTGCTGCTGTTATGTGCCACTGTACAGGAGTCAGCGACCCTGTAAACAACAGATAGGAACCTTGGCCTGTCCTGTGCCATCCTCATGATCGCTGAAGTAGTTGAGCCCATGCTTTGTAAATCCATCTTAAGGATCTTTTACTGACCTACCTTTCCATGTATGCCATCTCTCTCCAAGGAATAGCCTTGCCCAACAACGTGCCCAAAGTATATGAGATGGAACTTTGTCATCCTTTCCTCCAAAGAGCACACCTGCTGCACCTTCTCCTAGACATGGCCGTGCTTTTGGCAGTCCATGGGATATTCAACACTGTTCTACAACTCCACAACTCAAAAGGCATCGATTCATCTTTTGTCGTTCTTTTTCATTGTCCAGCTCTCAGGTGCATGGCAAGTGATTGAAAATTCCACGGCCCAAATCAAGCACACCTTAGTCATCAAACTGATATCATTGCTCTTGAGTAATCTGGACAGGTTTCTGACTCCAGACTTTTTAAATGAAATACATTTCCTAATCTGACTGTTGGTACCAAAAGTGTTAACTGTGGATCCAAGTAAGATGAAATTGTTGACAGTTGTTTTTTTGACAGTTTTGATTTTTTCTCCATCTTAATGTTGTCTATGGGTCCAGTGGTGATTTTTTTTTCCCTCTTGAAGTTGAGATGTAATCCATATTCAAACCTGTAGTCTTTGATCTTCTGCTGTAAGCATTTCAAGCCTTCCTTACTTTGAGCAATTAAGGCTGTGTCATCTGCTTAACACATGTTGATCACACTCTTCATCACCAAGTCCAGCTTCTCTAATGATTTACTTAGCATATAGATTGAATAGGTATGGAGAAAGAATATAGCCCTAACACATACTTTTCTTAATTTTAAACTATGCAGTTTCCCCTTGCTCTATTCAGAGAACAGATTGTCTAGTTTTAGGTTTTGTACGAGCATAAAAGTGTTCTGGAATTCCCTGTATTTGCAATGTTAGCCATAATGTGTTGTGATCTACACAGAATAACTAAGCACAAAAAGGCAGAGATGGGCTTGTGTGTACAAAGATAAGGAGGATGGCACAGGGTAGGTCAGAGTTTGGATTTATTGTTAATATAAGAATTAGTACTTTTAGTGGAAAAAAAAAGCTGCTATGAGTCCTACTTGACGCCATGGCACATTCGATGGTACATAACAAGGTCACCACTTAAAAGGAGAAACTCTGACCTCAGTGAGCATCCTGATTCCAGTCTTCCGCTGAACTTAAAATCTGTTACACAGGACATGACAAATTGAAGAAGGATGGTTGTTGAATTCATAGTATAAAAGAATATTTTGCAATATATCCCCAAGTAAAATGCTGTGAGTGATGCAACACAAGGAAGGATACCCCCCATACAGGGAACACCTGTTATAGTTGTAACCTGCTTACTATAATTTGCTAAAGCTAGTTACAACTCTTCAAATACACACCAACCACTAACACCAAAGCTAAAGAAATTAAGCATTTTTACCAATATTTGTCGTCTAGAATTGATTAAACATTCAACCAAGATACATTGATAATGATTGGTGTCTGGAATGCAAGAGGTGGAAACAAAGAAGCAGCTCTGGTCGTTGGAAAATAGGGACTTGGTAAAAGAAGTGAGATTGGAGATTGAATAATAGAATTTTGTACAATGAGTGATTTATTCATCACAAAGACTTTTATTTTAAAAGAACACCATGACTATTACATGGACTTCACTTGATGGACTGTACAGGAATAAAATTGACTACCTCCGTCAAAAAAAAAAAAAGACGGAGAAACTCAATATTAGCCGTCAAAATCACCAATACCTCATATTCAAGTTGAAATTAAACTGAAGAAAATGAAAAGTTCATGAGAATCAAGACATGACCTTGATTTTATTCCACTTGAATTTAACAACCATCTCAAGAATAGATTTGATATATCGAAAATTAATGATCAAAGACCACGAGTTGTGGGATGACATCAAGGATATCATCCATGGGAAAAAAGCAATAAAGTCATTGTAAAAAAATAATAAAAGTCATTATAAAGACAGATGGGAAAGAATAGACTAAAATGAGTGTCAGTAGAGATTCTGAAAAATACACAGAATGTAGAGAGGCCAAAACAAAAGGGATAAATGCTGAAATAGAAGGGGTGACTAGAAGATTTCAAAGGGCAGCTCAAGAAATCAAATAAAAATAAAACAAAATGTACAAAGAGCTATAGTTAGAAATGCAAAGGCAAAAAACACATCATTTTTCAAGCTGAAGGAATTACTTAGATGTCAATAAATGTTCTTCATATGTACCAAAATCCTGTGACACCTCAATCTCTTCTTTAAACAGAAATGATAGCAATGACAATCTTGCATTTTTTTTCTGGTAGAAAATTGTTCTTAGACAATTCTGTTGATGTGCTGATTAGGATAATAATAAATTAATTTACCGAGTTTCTGGAGGAGGTTTTGCATCTCCATGATGTTGAATCTTACTACTCAGAAATAAAATGGGTCTTTCTGTTCAGATTTTTCTTTTCATACTAGGATTCTAATTTGATTTTATCTAAGGGGTCAAGCCACGTGTGGCAATACTTAAAGATAGTTTGGGTAGAATGTTAAATGATCCAGGAAGTATCAAAAGAAGATGGAAGGAATACACAGAGTCACTGTATCAGAAGGAATTGGCTGACACAGAGAAATTTCATGAAATAACATATGAGCAAGAGCCTATGGTGATGGAGGAGGAAGTTCAAATTGCTCTGAAGGAAATGGCAAAAAACAGGCCCACGAGTTGACAGCATACCAATTGATTTATTTCAACAAAAAGACACTGCTCTAGATGTGCTCACTAAGTTGTGCCAGGAAATCTGGAGGACAACCAGCTGACCAACTCACTGGAAGAGATAGATATTTGTTCCCATTCCAAAGAAAGGTGACCCAACAGAGTGTGGAAATTATCAAACAATATCATTAATATCACATGCAAGCAAGTTCTGCTGAAAATGATCCAAAACTTTTGGAACAATATGTTAACAGAGAACTGCCTGATGTGTAGGCTGGTTTTAGAAGAGGTCGTGGTACTAGGGATATTATAGCTAATGTTAGATGGATCTTGGCAGAAAGCAGAGAATACCAGAAGAATGTCTATCTGTGCTTCATTGACTATGCAAAGGCATTTCACAACAAGCTATGGCTGACTCTGAGAAGAATGGGAATCCCAGAATATTTGACTGTGCTGATGCGAAACCTATACTTGGACCAAGAGGCCGTCATCAGAACAGAGCAAGGATACATTGGATGGTTCAAAATCAAGAAAGGTGTCGGTCAGGGATGTATTTTGTCTCCATGCCTTTTCAATCTGTATGCAGGACAGATCATACAAGATGCTGGGCTGCACAAGGAGGAATGTGGAATCACGATTGGTGGAAGAATCATCAACAACCTGTGTTATGCAGATGACACAACCCTGCTTGCTGAAACTGAGGAGGACCTGAAGCTGCAGAAGGTCAAGGACTGCAGTCTTCAATATGGATTGAAGCTCAATATCAAGAAAACAAAGATTCTCACCACTGGGCCAACTGACAGCATCAGTATGGTTGGTGAAGAGATTGAGATAGTTAACAGTTTTAGTTTACTTGGTTCCCCAGTCAACAAACACTCTTGGTAACAGCAGCCAGGAAATCAAGAGATGAATTGCATTGGGGAAAGTCAGCTGTGAGG